AGCCCCCCAGTCCGCCGGGGATGCTGGCTAGCCCTTCACCTGCTTACTGGCCCGTGCGTCTCCTTTTCTGTCAAATGCCTGTTCACCTCTTTTGTGCATTTTCAACTGGGCTGTCGAATTTGTTTTCTACTGCCGCTATAACACATCCCCACAAACTTGGTGGCTCAAAAGAACATAACTTTATTAAGTTACAGTTCTGGAGCCAGAAGTGTGACGTGGGTGTTGCTGGGTAAAATCAAGGCGCTGGCAGAGCGCACTCCTCCTGCAGGCTCTAGGGGAGAGTCTGTTCTGCCCCTTCCCAGTGCCCAGCGGCACCTGCGTGGCTTGCTCATGCTCCCCGTCAGCAATCACATCACTCTGACCTCTGATTCTGTTGTCACATCTCTGCTCTCTCTGACCCTCCTGCCTCCCTTGTACAAGGACCTGGAGATGACATTGTCCCCGCCCAGAAGTTCCAGCATCATCTCCCATCTCAAGATCCCTCGCTTAGTCATATCAGAAAAGTCCCTTTTGCCACGGAAGCCAACATATTCAGTGGTTCTGGGGATTAGGGCGTGGACATCGCTGAGGACCACTGTTCTGCCTGTCACACTTGCGCTCTCACCTTCTTCATGGTCACTGTGAGCAGAGCCCTGAACAGGATGGAGCAGCAGAGGCCAGTCCCACATGGAGGTACCTGCTCCCACCCTCTCCACCGGGCCCCTGCAGGTGTTTGGGGAGAGTGCAAAGCCCCGCCACCACAGACCCTCTGAGCCAGGGGACGGTCCATGTTCCCAGGTGCCAGGAGACATACCTGCCTCATGTGTCCTGACAGTGTTTCACTTCTTCCCGACATGTTATATTATTCAAAGCGCTTTCCCATCCACACTCTCCCTTAGCTCTGACGCTGTCACAGGCCGAGTGCAATGGGGGGACTGTGCTGGAAGCTTCCCATCTCAGCGCTGAGACTAGCATATCCCATGCTCCTAACCCCCAACCTGGGGGTCTTCCTAGGATGCTGGGCTTCCGGGGAGAGACCCAGGTGACTTGGGAGGGGGCCTGGTTCTAGCCTCCCCTATCAACTGCCATATGGTGAGAGCTGCAGGGTCATGGGGCAGGGCTTAGAATCACACAGGATTGGTCTAAGTCCCTGCTCAACCACTTACAGCTGTGTGACCTTGTGCAGGTGGTTTAACCTCTCTGGGCCTTGGTGCCTCTTCTATAAAAGGCGAATATTGATTGTACCTGCATCTCAAGGTTATTATGAGGATAAAATGAGATCGTGTCTGTTACTGGCTTACATAATCCATGACATATACTACACTTCATGAATGGCAGATAGCAAGTTTAATAGATGACTACAAAAACAAACAGCCTGATTTAAAAATGGGCAAAGGATTTGAATAGACATGTCTCCAAAGAAGATGCATGAATGGGCAATGAAAAGATGCTCGACATCACCAGTCATTAGGGAAATGCAGATCAAAGCCACAATGAGATACCACCTTATGCCCATTAGGATAGCTACTATCAAAAACAAAAACAAAAAGTAGGAAGTTTCAGGGAGGATGTGGAGAAACTGGAACCTCTGTGCACTACTGGTGGGAATGTAAAATGGCACAGCCAACATGATGGGAAAAAGTATGGTGGTTCCTCAAAAAATTGAACATAGAACTACCATATGATCCAGCATTCCACATCCAGGTATATACCCAAAAGAATTAAAAGCAGGGACTTGAACAGATATTTATACACCCATGTCCACAGCAGCATTATTCATAATAGTTGAAAGGTGGAAGCAACCCAGGTGTCCACTGATGAATGAATGGCTAAACAAACTGTGGTCTATACATACAATGCAATACTATTCAGCCTTAAACAAGGAGATTTTAACAAAAGAGAAGCAGAGTCATAGAAACAGAGAACAAACAAGTGGTTGCCAGAGGGGAGGGGGAGGAGGGAGGAGAGGTATAGGTGAGGGAGATTAAGAGGTACAAAGTTTCAGGTGCAAAATAAATGAGTCAAGGGTATGAAATGTACAGTGTGGGGAGAAGAGTCAATAATTACGCAATGTCTGTATTGTGACAGATGGTAAGCAGACTTACTGTGGTGATCATTTTTAAATGTATAGAAATATCTGATCACTATGTTGTGGAACAGGAACTAACACAGTGTTGCAGGTCAGTTACACCTCAAAAACAAACAAACGCATAGAAAAAGAGATCAGAGTCGTGGTTACCAGAGGCAGGGGGAGGGGGGAAAGGGGAATTGGATGAAAGCTGTCAAAAGGTACAAACTTCCCGTTATAAGATAAAGAAACGCTAGGGATGTCACGCACAGCATGATCAAGATAACTAACCCTGCTGTTAGACAGGAAAGTTATTCAGAGAGTAAACCCTAAGAGCTCTCATCACAGGAAAACCTGTTTCTGTTTCTTCAATTTTGTATCTCTGTGAGATGACGGATGTTCACTAAACTTACTGTGACAATCATTTCATGATGTGTGCGAGTCAAATCATTATGCTGTCCACCTTAAACTTACACAGCGCTGTATGTCAATTATATCTCAATAAAGCTGGAAGAAAACAAAGAAGGAAACTCTGATACATGCTAAAACATGGATGGACCTTGAGGACATTGGGCTGAGTGAAATAAGCCAGACACGAAAAGACTACATGATTCCACACACCTTAGGTCCCTGGAGTCGGCCACTTCATAGAGACAGAAGGCAGAAGGGTAGCTTCCAGGGGCCGGGAAGGAGAGGGACGGGAGAATTAGCGAGTAATGGATACAGAGCTTTCAGTTCTGCAAGAAGAAAAAGTTCTATAGATGGATGCACCATAACCTACCTAAAATGCCACTGAACTTTATACTTAAAACTGGCCAAGATGGTAAATTTTAAGTTCTGTGAATTTTATCACAATTTAAACAAAACTAGACAGACACAGGAGTTTTGCCACATTTGGGACAGTGTGTGCCTTAAGACTGTTCTGGAACCCAGGGGTTTACACAGTCCAGAACATGGTGTAAGCACCACAGCACCTCAGCAGCTGGTGTGGCCTGCATGGCCCCTCTGGATATGGGAGGGCACCGATGAGTCTTCACCTCTCACCCTCTGTCAAGCTTGCATGCTGGGGCTGCGTCCAGGGCCCCCGGTGTAGAGCGCTCCATGTAAGGGCACCGATGGGTCTCCACCTCTTGCAGAACTTCCTTCCAAAACAGAGCCGTTGGGGTTCCCCTGGTGGCGCAGCGGTTGAGAATCCACCCGCGAATTCAGGGGATACGGGTTCGAGCCCTGGTCCGGGAAGATCCCACATGCCGCGGAGCAACTAAGCCTGTGCGCCACAACTACTGAGCCTGCGCTCTAGAGCCCGCGAGCCACAACTACTAAGCCCATGAGCCACAACCACTGAGCCCACGAGCCACAACCACTGAAGCCCCTGCACCTACAGCCTGGGCTCCGCAACAAGAGAAGCCACTGCAATGAGAAGCCCACGCACCGCAACCAAGAGCAGCCCCCGCTCGACGCAACTACAGAGAGCCCGAGCGCAGCAACGAAGACCCAACGCAGCCTAAATAAATAAATAAATAATTAAATTTCTAAAAACAAAGCAAAACAAAAAAGAGCTGTCCCTTCCAAGGACTTGAATAGACATTTCTCCAAAGAAGACACACAAATGAGCAGCAGGTGTGTGTAAAGATGCTCAACATCACTCATCATCAGAGAAATACAGATCAAAGCCATGGAATATCACCTCAACCTGTCAGAATGGCTGGAATGGCCAAAAACCCGGCAAATGGCAAGTGTTGTCAAGGGTGTGGAGACTGTGGAGCCCTCGTGCACTGTTGGTGGGGATGTGAAATGGTGCAGCCACTATGGAGAACAAACAGTATGGAGGTCCCTCAAAAAACTAAAAATAGGGGCTTCCCTGGTGGCGCAGTGGTTGAGAGTCCGCCTGCCGATGCAGGGGACACAGGTTCGTGCCCCGGTCCGGGAAGATCCCACATGCCGCGGAGCGGCTGGGCCCATGAGCCATGGCCGCTAAGCCTGCGCTCCGCAAAGGGAGAGGCCACAACAGTGAGAGGCCCACGTACCACAAAAAAAAAAAAAAAAAAACAACTAAAAATAGAGCTACCATATGACCCAGCAATTGCCCTTCAGGGTATTTACCCAAAAGAATCGAAAACAGGCTCTCAAAGAGAGATTTGCACTCTCATGTTCAGACCATCATTATTCACAATAGCCAGGAGGCAGAAACAAGCTAAATGTCTGTTAATGGCCGGATGGATAGAGTAAATGAAACCTATACATGCACTAGAATATTGTTCAGCCTTAAAAAAGGAAGAAATCCTGTCATGTGCTTCAACATGAATGAATCCTGAGGACATTCTGCTGAGTGAAATAAGCCAGCTACACAAAGCCAAATCCTATATGATTCCATGTATATGAGGTGCCTAGAGGGGTCAAACTCATAGAGACACGAGGTAGAGCAGTGGCTGCCGGGGGAGGGGAGAGGGGGAAGTGAGCAGTTGTTTAATGAATATTAGTTTCAGCCCTGCAAGATAAAATGTGCAAGAGATTTGCTGTACAACAATGTATGTATAGTAATAGCACTGCACTATACACTTACATATTTGTTAAGCAGGTGCATTTCATGGTATTTTTTTTAACCACAAATATTAATAATAAAATAAAGCACTGTCCCTTCCCAGTCTTAGGGCAGCCACGCCCTCCCCTGGGTCCCACCACTCCACTCACCCCATCTAGAACCACCTTCCCTCCCCGCCCCCATCTGTGGAAACTAAAGCTTAACTCATTGATCTGCTTCTCCTTGGGAACCAAGTCCTGCGTGGAAGCTTCCATCAGGTGCCCCCAACATTCAAAGAAACTGTAAACTGCTCTCCCTGCCCCCCTCCCCCAAGGAGAGCCTAGACTGGCCCTTCTCACAGGAGAAGGAAATTGCCTTTTCCTTCTTCCGAGTTGCCTCTAGTTTGTGGTTTACTTATGCAAGCAATGTTTGAGTGTGTGCCTTGTGCTAAGCGCTGTGGTGGGCTGTGGAGACATGACAGTAAAAAAGGACAGCACCTTGCCTCAGGGAGTTTACTCCTCAGCAAACACACAAGGTAAACTTCAGAAGGTGTCAAATGCTGCGATGAAAATAAACAGAGGGATATGACAGTCATGGAGGTGCCCTGAGGAGGTCCTTCTGAGGAGAGAACATTTGCCTTGAGACTCCATGTAAGGAGAATGGAGCCGGGAGGGATAGCATTCCAGGCAGAGGAAACAGTTTGTGCGAAGATCCTGGGGCAGAAAAGACCTTGGCACACCCGAGGAACACAGGAGGCTGGTGGGGGCTGGGGGAGAGTGGACTGGAGGGAGGCAGAGACGTAGCTGGAACGGGTGTGTGCAGGGCTGCCTGGAGCAAGTAGGCTCAGGAAACTATTAGCTACTAACGTGCAAAGAGCTCCACAAAGGACAGCGCCTGAGGACATCCTTGGGTTCTCCCAGGTCTGTAAACTGCCGCCAGCATGACTCTAGGTCCGGGCTTCCCGACCTTGGGCATGCATTTGAGCCACTTGGAGGGGGCTTGTGACGACGCACAGGTGGGCCTCATGCCAGAGCGTCTGATTCAGGAGATCTGAGTGGGGCCCAGACTTGCGTGTTTATGAAGTTCCCAGGTGATGCCGACGCCGCCAGTCCTTGGACCACTTTGAGAATCATGCTCTAAGCAGGTTACTGATTCTCTGAGTCTTTTCTTCACCTGTGAAATTGCCCTTCTTTCCTGGTTGATGTTACCATCAAATGAGATAAAGCCCTTTGTAAAGAATAAAAAAGACACACAGGGGGAATGATCAACTTGATGTTTAATAATCACTGCACCCGTGTGTTTCTCACAACCTACAAGGAATGTGCGCACGTTAACGCTGCAGCGGGTGCCTTAGGAGCGTAAGTCTGGCTGACTCCCGCACGACGTGCATGCTTGAGCCCAGCGGTGCCGCAGGGGACGGACGCCTGCCTGGCCCTGCCCCGGGGGAGCCTGGGATTCGCTCCTGCTGTTCACTCCACAGACACAGGCTGGATGACCCCCAGCATCTGTGGTTTTTGTTACCCCTCATCTCCCCCCACGCCTCCCCAAGGAAAAGTCGTCCCGTGAGTCACCCGGAGGCCCGGGAGGAGGCCACGGCTGCTCGGCCGGCAGCTGGCCACTGAGGGGCAGGAGGGGTGGTGCTGCCTCCTTGGGCTTTGAAGAGAAACTCCATAGATTCACAGACTCCCAGAACCTCGGCCTCTGGAACGTGTGCATATGATATACACTTGGTGTGTACATTTTTTATTTGTATTCACTCACAGGGTCAGCAAATATTTGTTGAATATCTGCTACGAAGCAGCCTCTGAGGATACAGCCGTGACAAAATAAAGTGCCCCTTTCATGGAGTTTATGTGTGCGTGATATTCACCCAGGGACCATACTGAAAGCCTATGATGTGTGGCGAAGTTTACAGTCTGGCAGGGAAGACAGACTTGTAATCACATAAATGAAGTAAAGTGTAATAGGGCTTGTGATGGAGATAAACACAGGGTTGGGGACAGTGAGTGATGGAGGAGGGAGAGGGCCCTGAGGAGGCGTCCCGATAAACTGGTTATTAAAGGCGGTGGCATTTCCGAGGTTGTCTAAGGGGAGGCCTTCTGCAAAGAGGAAGCAGCGTGCTGTAGCTAGGTACACGGGCGCCTGCAAGAGGTTCCACAGAGTTGGAGTATCGGGTGCCAGGGCTGGAGGGGAGGCTGGAAAGGGTGGCAGGGGTCTGGGGCTTAATCCTGCCTTCAGGGTATCGAAGTGCTGAGGAGCTCGGGTGAGAGATTGAACTGTGACAGGGCTGTGCTGTGTTTATTCTGGAGGACACGTGTGGAGAGAGCCAGTAGGAGGGCAGGACTGGAGGTGAGCAGAGGAGGCTGCACTAGCAGATGGGAACAGGATGCCGGCTGGAGCAGAGGCAGGAGACGCGGGCTCAGAGAGAGACGCTAAGCACGCAGGATGGACAGGCTTTGCTTACAAGTTGGATGAGGGACAGGAAAATGCCGAGAGAAAGAAGCATCTAGAGGAGTGAGAGTGTGGGCAGAAAATGACTTCTGTCCCGCACACGTGGAGTCTGAGATGCATGCTGGGAGAGCGCAGGACCTAACGAGACGTGTGAGGTCGAGAAGCACCACACCCGGAAGTAACTGAACCCAAGTGAGTGTCGAGGTCGGGCTGAGGACGCGGACGGGCAGACCGGTGGGCGCTGCGTCGTCTAACATGTGGAGGGGACGGGGCTGAGCCCCTGAAAAGAACTTGGAGGTGAGGTCAGAGGAAGACAGCAAAGGAGGAAGAAACAGGGTTTTGGACCACTGCTGTGGAAGCCAAGGGTGGAGAAAGTCCCAGAAAGAGCAGTCAGTGGTGGCATAGCTGCAGACAGGTCCCCACAAGGACTTGGCAATTTGGGTTCAAGGGAGTGAACGGAGCCCCTGCCAAGAAATAAATACTTATGGAACGAACGGGGAAGACCTGGGAGGTGAGGCTCTGAACACCGTCTCCAAAGGGTGATCGCTGTCTCATGGGTTCACGCCCTTCTCATTTTGACTCTTCTCTTTGTACCAGAAATCCCCTTCTTCCCAGTAATCAGTGAAAGAAATAGAAGGGGGTTACAAAGGAGTGGGAAGTTACACTCGAAATTAGGAGAAAACACACGTTCCGTTCTCAGAGACTTGAAGGAACTTCTGCAAGGGGTGATGCAAACAAGAGCAGATTCCAGGAAGCGCCTGCAGACATTCGGGTCATCACACACAGAGGACAAGTGCAGCGGCCCTCAGCAAAGCCCCACACGCCCGAGCTTCGGCAGAAGCAATGCTCTCTTGCACACGTCACGCCAGGGCCATGCTAGGCACCAGGCTCGGTGAGGACGCTGCAGGGACCAAGACAGACAAGATCCCAGCCCTCAGGGGTCTTGCATTCTAGTACGAGGGATGGACAATAAACAAGTAAACAGATAAACCAAGTAATCACAGAGTGCGATAAATGCTATGGATGACATAAACTAGGATGAGCCAGTAGAAACAGGAGAGCGTTACTTGAGACAGACGGTACTCTAACTTCTTGCTGAAAATTTTCCAACTTTTAGTCACATAGCAGACTTCACGTGCCATCGTATTTTATGACTGATCACACCTTGCACAGTTAGAATTTTCTCCTGTCACATTTCAGACAGCGCTCACTGGCAGTGGTAGGAGCTGGGGTAGAGGGCGTGGGGAAAACAATCCTGTGACGTGCTCCCCGAGGTTACAGCCCGATCCCCTGGCTCAGAGCAGCAGGACTGGGGAAAAGATGGGTCGCCGGGCAGGTGGGCACATCTCCACTGAGTACAGTGTGTGCACGCTCACTGCCTATGTGGGGACAGGCCTGTTCCTTACTGCTCCCAGGGCACACCCCTCTCCAGCCGCAGCAGGAATGCTCAACCCAAGTCCTTCCTGGAGCTTTGCAAAATGAGGATATGAGCTCAAGGGTGAAGGTGCCTTTTCCCTCCTGTGTGAAGCAGCTCGAGCGCAGAAATCCAGAACAGGGCCAACACCCCCAGAACAGTGGAGGCAAGAGGTGGAGGTGGGGAGCCCCGCTGCTCCAGCCGTCTCTGCGGCAGGTCCACCCTCCTGCTTTCACTGTGGTTTGGTTTCCTCAGCCTCTTCCTTTTGTTGCCTAAGTTGGTCCCCGTTGAAATTCTGTCATTGGCAACTCAAGTGCCCTAATCCTTATGATGCAGTCGAGGTCACACAGAGCTGGGATCGTATCACAACGTATTCTGGAGTCGAGGTTATGCTGAGCAAAGCAGGGCCCCTGGCAGTGGGCTTTGACAGTTAGGGGAGGGGGCCCCATGCTAACCCCAGGGCAAAGATTCCCGCCTTGGTTGCCTCATTCACAGGTCTCAGCTTCCTAAGGCTCTGAGGGCCAAAATGGGCTTTTCGGGGAATGTCCGTTTTTAGCTGGGATGAGCTAAGCTGCCGTGACAAACAGACCCAAAGATGCTTATTGGCTCAAACACAACAGAAGTTTCTCTCATTCACATGCCAGACTGCAGCCTGTGCTTTTAGTTGATGGTGGCTCTGTCCCATGGGATGACTCAGGGATCCAGGATCCAACATGTGGCGCTACCACAGCCTAGCTGTCATCTACATCTTGCCAGCAGTAGGGGGACAGACATCACTTCAGGTCACATTCTATTGGTGAGAACCGGTCACACAACCACACTGAACTGCAAAGGAGGCTGGGAAATGTAGTCCAGCCTCGCACCTTGCTATAACCCCCATTGCTACAAAGGGAGAAGATTTTGTCGGGCAGAAAAGTTTGAGAGGACTAAATGGAGGCACTCAGGTGCCTTGATGTTTTAGCTGGACAGTTCTCTGAGGGTGGGAGGGTGCTGCCCTGTGCACTGTAGGATGTTTAGCAGCATCCCTGGCCTCTACTCACCTGATGGTTGTAGCATCCCTCCCCCAACTCCCCCCGCAGTCCCAGTCATGACATCAAAAATGCCTCCAGGCATTGCCAAAGCCCCTGGAGCACAGTCACCACTGATTGAGAATCACTGCTCTAGACACTGAGAGCAATGTCAGAATCTTTGTCAACCAGGGAGGAAATGCAGTGAAATTACCTCCTCTCACTTTGTCACTCGGGAATCTCACGGCGTGGCTGCTGGTCTGTGCTCACGAGGCTGGCAGACAGATTAGCTGAGGTGCCGACTTGAAGTTTCACAGAGGAGTGAACGATGTGAACCCCAGCTCCTGAGTGCGTGATGAGAACGACGTTAGGAGATTCTGCAGATGCCCGTCACAGCCAGGGCAGCATGCAAAGAAATGCTCTAAGTCCTTTCACTCAATACAAAACCCAAAATGGCACTGGCTTGTTTGCACAAAACAGGCTTTCTGAATTATTTGGTGCTGATTCCCTGAAATTTCTGTGAGAAATAAGATTTTTTTGATACCTTCTCTAACAGGAGGCCATACTTGTAAGCCCCTGGTGAGTTCTTGCTCTGGATGGACATGGCGAACTAGGGCAGACCCCTAAGAACATATTTGTTTGCAGGAAACGGGCTGTCCTGGAATATCAGTGAGAATTCCTTGCAGCCTGGTGGAAACCGGAAGTACTGCCACCCAGCAAGGCATTAGAATGTCAATAGTGTGCTTTATCTCCTAGAAACCCAACCGAGCTGTTCTGACTTCACAGGAAACAGTTTTCAGGCTACAGCTGATGGGGATTCTTCACATTCCATGGAGAACTTTGGGACACGCTTCAGGCTTCGGGCTGTAGTCCCCAACAAGGAGCCTAGGTTTGTGTGTAGCTGCCAGTACAAACGTATTAGTTTCCTGATTCACTGGGAATAAGCAAGGCTCTTGAATATTAAATAAAACTGGTTACATAAGTCTTTTATTTGAAATGAATACAAGGTCATAATCAATAAAGCTCACTTTGAAGCACTGCTGAGAAAAACGAATACAGACGTTTTCTCTGCTGCTGGAGTTGCACAAAGTAGCAGGTTTATGTCAGACTGAGGTTTGTGTGCAAATAGCTAAGCACTCCTTCAGAGGATGAGCAGTGTGGGTCTGAAGAAGATCCGATGCCTCGCAGACCCATGCGGATCATTCTCTCTGAGCAGGCTTGAGAACACTAGGCTCTTCTGGCTTTTTACCAGCTGCTATTTCGTCTGCAAATAACAATGAAAACCAGGCTAACCAATCTGGTGTTGCTGAGGGATGGTTCTCACGAGCCCAGCGCCCCCTGGGGTCTGGCCCTTGCCTCCTTCTCGAGCCCTGGCTGCTGCTGGCCCCGGCCTCCTCACGGCTACCAATGCAGCAGGACATGCCAGGCCCTGCACTGCCCAGATTTCTCTCCCCAGAAAACTCCAGAGCTCGATGACCACTTTGTCGGGTTTCAGGATTCAGGTCACGTGTTACACTTTCCAGAAAGGCTTCCTGACTTCCAAGAGGAGAGCTGGCCAGTCACTGCCCAGTGCCCCTCGTGCCGTCGACAGGCCTTTATCACCCAGGGCACTTTATAGCACTTTACTCCCCACCCTGTGTGGATGCCTCGCCCCTGTTCGACCACGAGCTCTGAGGGCAGAGCCTGTGTCTTATTCCTCTTGGGAGCAGCAGTCCTAACACAGGATCTGGAGAAGGTTTGTTCAATAAGAATGATCGAACAAAGCAATGAACAGTAATTACGCAGCAAGTGCAGAGGCTGTCACGTGGCTCTTCTTGTTTTAAAAATTGTGGTAAGAGCCGCATGTGCAGAGGGCCGAGGCCCGGTGTCTTCCCGGCACAGCGCTGGGGCAGCTGCGGCCTGAGAGACGAGGGAGGGGCAGGAAACGAGCCCATCTCAATAATTAGTGCGACACAGAAAACCTGAGGCCACCTCT